CTGGAACTGGCAACACAAAGTGCCGGGTACTGATACACAATAGTGGTATAACTGCAGTTATTCATTTGCATTGATGTATTTCTAAATGATTAGTGAACGCACGGCCACGCTTAATGTTTCATTCATGTTTTAATGAAGCTACCACATCACAGATAAAGCATATACTTCTCCTCCATGACTACTCTTTAAAACTCTCACAGTGTTTTCATCATTTTGAGAAACGTACAAGCGGTGAAGCAGTTAAAATATGACTTCTTTTTGACCTTTTGCTCATGGTCCATTTTACACCACTAAATATTGTAACAAGCACTTGGCTGTAGATGCACAAAAGAGGCATTGTGAATGTCTGTCGGAAGAAAGTTTGTCTGATCTAAAAACATCCTCCTCAGCCTTCACTCACGACTGAACACAGCTTTTAGCTCACGTCTCGTTCCTGTCAGAGCAAAAGACTTCTCGCTCTGCTGCCAGTCAAATATCTCTTCTGTGTACTTGATTTCATGACCTTTTACCTGCTTTTTCAACAGCCCTGTCAGTCTAAAGCCACTCCAACTCCACGTAAAGGAAATGTGTGTTATTATTATGTCAGCTAGCCTTCTATACTATTCTATTAAAGATGTATTCTGTTTAAGATGTAGCTTTAGAGAGTCTAGACAGCCAACTCAGAAAACCCGGGAATAAGCTCCAAAGAGCTGCACTCAAGAGCTGAACCAGGCAACATAAAGCAGGACTAAACCAGATATAATAATAATGAATAATAATAACAATAATATATATATAAACCAGATATAAACTGGTTTACCTAGAACTGAACCAGGACTAAACAGTCCTAAAGTCTGTTCAAATGTTTAGACTTTGGTCTTCTGCGGTTTTATTGATGAAAATCCCAACGGATGGATATCCCAATGGATCAGTCTATCCTGACGTGCTGACCACAGCTGAGGCAGTACCTCCCAGTGTGTATCTTTAGGGACATCCACTGAGTCTCACACACAGGCTGACAGGTTGAAACAACTCGCCCTTTATGCCGAGGTGTGGACACAATGGCCAAGTATACAGTCGTTAATTTAGACAGTAATAAAAGAAAACAATTTTTGTAGCCCTTGGATGTAGGTTGGGTAAAAAAAAAGTCATGATGTCTTTGTAAATCCAGATAGGACTCCAGATTCGACTTCAGGTTGAAAACAAGAAAGAACCAGCACCACTCCAGATTTGTTCTTTGTTTGTTAGGCCGTCGCTCTCCACACTGAGTGCTAACCACTCAACCACCGCTCCGAGGTGTGTAACAAGATTGGGACTTCTTGATCTTTCTTTTCATTATTTGTCCTTGTGCAAACATGCATGATACACTTATAATATAATGTCATATAATTAAATGTGATTCCCTGAGGTCCTGGCTGTTTGGTCTGTGTCTTTACGACTGATTTCTAAAGTCGGAAAACTGTTTTGGTTTCCCTATGATGAAAAGTAATGTGAGTTAAATAATAATAATGATAATAAATAAATAAAAAACATTGCAATAGAGAAAAAAAGGGTTGCCTCCTTGAGATAAAGGCATTTTGAATGGGGATACACACTCTGAACCAATGGTGCGTGTGAAAATGACATCTTTTCTCACTTCTCACTTTCCTCACAACGTTGTTATTTACTGTGATGAGTTTTTCAGTGTTGGTCAAACGAGCAATAAACATATTTTTTCAGACAATAAAGTGCTCAATGATTACAGGAAAAGTGCTGACCTCTTTAAAATGAAGTGAAACAAGACCTTCCTACAATAAATCTCTACTGCTACTTGTAGATGTCTGTCGGCAGAAACTCAACTTTTGCTCCCATAATGATTTACTGTGCATTTTTTTTTGGCATGTAGCCGTATTTTTGACCGATCCAAGTTATGCCTAAAAATGTAATCTCGCAAAATGGCGCCAAAGAAGAAGATAAGAGGCTGTAAATCGTGGGTCCAGCTCGTCGCCTCTCCTCCCCTGCTAGATTGTGTCCTTGCTCTCCGTCTGAGCCCAGGTGCCCTCCGTCTGCAGCTGTGGCCTCTGCAACATCAAACTCTCAGAAGTGACATGTCCTGGACAAATTCAGACGTCCTTCACCAAATCACAAAGTCAAAAACGAGTTATTATATGACCTTGACCTTCAGCTCAAACTGATTTGTTGGAGAGTTTAACAGGAAACTGAAAATGTACTTGACTTTTAGTGAGGGCTGTTTTGAGAAGGGTTTGACTTAGGACAAGGTGATGTGATGGCAAGAATATATATATATTTTTTTCAGTTTTTTACAAGGAAATAAGTATAACAAGCTGAATAAGATAACATTCAAAACCCAATTGTATTTATCTAAATTTACCCAAATGTACTTAAATAATTGTTTTGCCTATTCTATTTTTTTATGCTGGCAAACCTGTATATTTAAATGTGTCACTTTTATCTCTGTGCAGCACCTTGGAAACTTGTTTTATAACATTTGCTTTATAAATAAAGTGGATTGGATTGGATTATCTTATTCAAAACAGGAAAAAATAACAATTTCTTGCCATCACATCACCTTGTCTCAGCTCAAAACCTTCTCAAAGCTAATAAAAATAAACAAATCCACCAATTCTGGTTCTGAAATGTGTTGTACTGCGTTTGTTCAGCCCTTCTGTAAACATCACTACAACAAAGCTCAGACACAACAGCAAATCACTGCAACGAGCAGCAGATTAATTTTGTTTTTCATTTGTATCGCAATTTCTGTGCTGTTGAATTATATGCATGTTGCAGATACATCAAGATTTACAAAAAACCTCAGTAGTTTAAATCTAGAACAAGGCCTCTAGTCTAGACCATTTTGACACTGTGCATACAAATTCATTCTTTACAAAATGCACTGTGATTATTTAAGTCTGTACATGGTTGTTTTAAGATTTTTGCATGTCCTTTTTGTTTTGTAAAGAACTTTGAATTGCTATGTTAATGAATTGGGCTCATGGAGACTGTAGAAGGAGTCACGACCAACTGAATGTGGCAGAAGCAGATAAAAAAATCTCAGCCAGAAGGCCGCTAGAAGTCCGATTTGTGGGGAGCAACGGCCTAGCAAACAAAGAGCCAATCAGGAGTGGTGCTGGTTCTTTCTTGCTTCCAACCTAAAACCGAATTTAATCTGGATTTACAAAGACATAATCAAAATAAAAAACATACAAAAAACAGTAGGATCATACAGAGATTAAAACACAGTGACACAAGCGGCTACTGAGGAGTTTACTTTTCAATAAAAGTGACTGGAGTCCAAAGAAAGTTGGAGCCAAATTGGGCCCATGAGCGCTTCCCTCGTTGGCTTTATAGGACTAAGTTGTACATTAATATATACAGTTAAGAATTAAAAAAGAGTTAAAAAGAATTAAAATCTTGAAAAATCTTTGATAGTTCAAGTCAACAAAAGTGTGCTTTAAATACAGTTTTTCAACTTTTTTCTATATGCAGAATTATATAATGTTTTCAGATAGTTCATCCTCTGGTTTACTCTTCCAACGGATTGACTCTTATCCTATACTCTTTCTTAAACGACTTAAATTATCCCAAAATCAACCTGAAGCTGTTTGTGAACTGTTTGTATATTAAGCAGTTACCTTGTAGCTTGTCGTCTGAATTATAAGCGGCAACACGCTCTGGCGAACGGAAGGTAGATGTATCTTGTATGAAGACAGATGTTTGTTCTACACGTCTTCGGATGAGAGACATTTTGCACTGATTGCATTATCATAACGAGAAGCATGAATCTGGATGTGTCTATAGATAACATTCGGCAATGGAAATGTGATTACGTGGTCGTGATTGCGCAAAATGAGATCGACCAATCAGAGGGTGGTCCACGGTCCAAATCAAATCAACACTCAATAGGGTATTGTTCGTAATTTCCTAATAAATACATTAAGAATTATTTGGACAATCAACTTTTTCACTCTCAGAAACTCACACATATAAGGTCATTCAAAGTTTGAGGGGACAACGGCGAGATGGCTAAATTTGACAATTTTTTTCCAGAATTTAACTTTTTTTTCTGCACGTTTTGTTATAGTATCTGTCTGTAATAAAATGCCAAATCAGTTTCATCACATAAGTCTGATTATCCAGTTGTAAAACATTTATATTGGAATTTTTTGGATGGTTTAAGATTCAAGATTCAATAATTTATTTGCCATTTGCAGTAACACCACATTGGAAAAACTATGCAAGACTACCCGGGATAGTACACACCAGTAGTCATTCCACGGCACCATGTTTCCGGCACCATAGAAAGCACTTCTTCATAAACTTGAATAAAACTCTGTGTAATTTCGCTTGTTCAAAGAAAAACTATTTAACGTTGTACATGTTGTTCTTTGAAGCAGGAGGTTTCAAGGACAGAAAATGCTCTGAAATGGAGTGAAGTAAAAGTAAAACGTATCATACAAAAGCTGTTTAATCGGCACAGATATGGAAATGAGATAATAATAAAGATAAAACCATACAGAACCGTTTCCATGGAGATGGATCAGCTTTGTACAATTCCCATGCCAGACCAGATGAAAATGCAAGTTCACAGCACGTGCAGTAAAAACATACTAAATGAAAACAAACCACCATGACACTCATTGGTTAAAAAGTGAAATGATAAAGTACAGTAAGATAAAAAGGAAATCAAAAGGTGATCATGTGCCTGGTCTGGTTCAAGAGCCTCTACCAGATCTACTCATTAAAATCACCAAAACCATAATTGCTACATTCTGCTACAGTTTGGAGCACTCTTTGACACGGCCACACACAACTTTCAGAGCCCAGAGCATTTTGAATAATTAGATATATTGTTACATAATAACAGTTTAAAGGACCATGCAGCAATAGATGATTTAATGATTGTCTTTTACAACATATCGGGCACAGGCTCTTTGATCAGGCAACATGAAAAAAACATTCCAAATCAAAGAAACATATTTGAAATGTAAAATGTATTCAGTGTGTGCCCTTGCGGTAATGAGATGGTTCCTCACGCACAGGCGGCATCCAAGCGTCAGAGCGCCCCCTTCAGACGGGTGAGTCAGCAGCAGGAGGAGCAGCCTCGGCCATGGGCAGGAAGCGAGGGAAGAGCAGGAGAAGCAGCAAGACAGGGAGGAGCAGAGATGGAGGCAAGAGACGCACCAGCAGCTACAGGAGGTGCAGAGCGAGAGGAGAGGGAGAGGAGGAAGGAGAGAGAGGAGAGAGAGGAGGAGGAGGAGGAGCAGAGGAGAAGGACAACCATGGCAAACGTCAGCCTCTTTTACACAGACACTTATGTGATGTCACTAAAGCAAACCTTCTATGTCTGCTATTGTAATTCACACAAAGAGGAAAAGCTGAATGTGAAAGTGACAACAGACATACAAGGCCTCACAAACACTTATATCCGACAATATTCACATGGTTTGATGGAGTGAATCTATCGTTTCACCAGTTTGTGAACTTAAAATTGGCCGTGTTTTTTTTTGGGCCATAATAAAACTAATGGAACTGGAGCCATTTAGGTCAATATATGTGTTTTGACATTTTAAATACGATCAAAAACCTTGGAAAGACCACAAACTGGGATAAGGTGCATTTGGCTAACTTTAGCATGCATTAATTATGACAATAATGAGGTCCAGATTGTAGATTTTAAGTTCAGTCTCGCAGTGATCCGACTGTGTGAAAGAGGCTGTGAGAAGCATGAAGATGACACAAACAAGAGGAGCATAGGACACACATGAAAGCAACTTTTGTCTCATAAAATATCCCAAATATAGATTTTTTCTTTTAACTGTATTACAAAGATTCCCCACATAACCCTAGCCTTAATTAGATTTTATTGATTCCAGCATGTTTGAGTAGTCCTGTGTTGAGATTTCGGTGTTCAGAAATGCCCCATTTCACCCTTTCCCTACCAAATTATTTCTGACCCAAGGCAAATAATGTATTAAATGTTGAAAAAAAGTAGTTTGAGGACAGAGGACGACTAAAATCAATACCAGAAATAAATACAGAAAAAAATTAAAGAACCTTCTGTGGGAAGCCAGGTCACTGTATAAAACATGTCCTGGATTCATGTAGCAATATTGTTTTAGATAATAATTATTGCTGTATGTTTAGAGAACTATTTTTTAGTACTAAATAATATTTTAAAAATACAAGCGGCGCAACTTTTCTCAGCTTTATGCCATGTTGGTCATTTTTTGTCATCTTTTAAACACAAAGCATTTTTTTTTAAATCACAAATCTTTCCTTTGTTATAACCTCCTCAAATTAGAGCGTCGCCACTGCTCCCCCCTCAGTCCTCTGACTGCTGGCACTATGCCCCTCGAAGTTTGGTGAAAATCTTTTGTCACCACTTTTCTGAATCCGTGACATATGAAGGATTCGCTCAGCACAGGCGACACACAATTTTGCTCAAAGGAAAAACATATAATCACAACACTATTTGTTAGCAGAGGAGCAGAGCCATGTGAGCATTTTTTAAGAGATCCATTACGCTCTGATATTATTATATCTATTATATTATAGGAATCATGTCAGTCTCCTTTATAGAACCATTAAAAAAAAAAGTTAAATTAGGAGTCAAGTGATGTTAAATATTTTATTAAAACATTGACAAGTGTTATATATATATATCTCTAGAAGACAATGCTCTGTATCCATTACAATCTGTCGTAGATAAATGCATTCATAATCTCCAAAACACACTCAAGTCTTTTTCAATGAAGCTTTTCAAACACTATTAAGTCTCCGCTGCATCAGAGGCAACGCGCCTCACCACATTAGTGACGAGACTCGCTGCTATTTTAGGTCCGTTCTAATGTTACAGAACACAAGTAATTATAAAATGCAAATTGCAGTGTGCAAAAACAACAAAGAGATGCTTAGCGTGACATTTTTCACCATGACATGTCAGGAAACGAGTGGAAAATAAAACAGGTTAAAAAAAAGAAGGTGCTAAATAATTATGTGCAGTTATGCCCGCGGGCTGTGGAAATGTGGATTTCACAAAGAAACAAAAGAGATATGTGTTTGTCCCATTAGTCTAATTATACAGCCATTAGCACTGGACGGTGAGAGCAGCAATTATTAACAATGGCGTCATGGCAACTGAAGATATGTCTATTAGCTTTGTGTTCGGAAAGTCAGCATTAAATGAAATACATGGGCTGAGCTTTGATCACATCAAAAGGTTATTAGAATGTTCATTACAGCACATTCATATCATGTTTCAAACAGAGGGTGAAGTAAATCAGCGCTCAGAGGATTCTCAAAGACAAATATTACTCCTTCAAAAGTAGGAATGTTGTCATATTAGGTCATTTTTATATTCATAAATATTCAAAATACTTGAATAAATTTGAAACAGATAGAAACATTATTATTATTTCCATCCATTCAGAAATTGGAAATGGTATTTAGGAAAAAAGCTTAATCTTGTAGACAATACAAAATGGCAAATTGCAAAAAAGCTTACAACCAAATAATGTTTGTGGAACTTTCCAATGGTTTGCTTTTGAACATGACACCAGCCCTTTGGAGTGACACTGGACAGTAAGTTTTTCAAGATGTCTGCTCGTACCTCCATCACAGCAGTGTGGTTTGTAATTGTAAGTTTCATGTTCCACAAAACCAGGCGTGGAAGTGCCTTTGTGCTTTCAACGGTGGTGTTGTGCAACATTCTAAATATATTAGCATCGGTATTGAACTAGTGGTGCAAAAATATTAGTGCGTGTCTTTCAGTGTGTGATACAAAGTTATACAAAATGTTCAGTTAACACCACAAGAGCATTTCTTTCTAAAATCTGAATCACATATGCCCCCACTACTGGCTGAAACTCAAGGTTCACTTACTCTCTACTGAGATGCATACGGCACATAGACTGGATATGGACATTTTAACCAATTCACTTCAGTGAGCTCAACCCCTTAAAGCCCAGTGTATCTACCCTGTCCTCATCTAATGTACTTTGTTGTGTAGTTAAAAAAACAATATTAATGGAGTATACTCCGTCTTAAATGCTTTAATGATACTCCAGTGGAGAGATAAGACTTCGCTCAGAAAGCACAGGTCTGTTAACGGACCCAAATGGAACAAAAATGAGCCTTAAAAGTACTGCTACTTCAAACTGGTAGATGTTTAATCCAGTAGATCCAGTAGATGTTTGACAAAGTAGAAATACAAGAGAAAAAACAAGATTTGAAGGACATACCTTTATAATGTATTTACCCCAAACAAAATAACAAAATATTAATTGCAAATAATTGCAAACAGTGTCAAACAAAGCTAATGTGGACCTACATTACGCATGCATGCCACTTTAGTTGCTTTGATTGAAACTAGCAATATATTACCAATTATTTCTCATTGTAATGAGTTACAATACAATGTTACTTCAGAAAGGATAATATGACTATTACAAAAGTAACCAGTTACTCCCAACACTGGTCTTAAGTAAGAGTCAAATATGACTCCCCTTTATGTCACCATGTGTAGTATGTGCTCAATACAGTTATGGACACTATAAATGCACATTGATTGGAGCCCAGGACCCTGCTCCTGACCTACTTTTCTGGCTTGTTTTGGTCCTGGTAGTGGGAGCAGAGGCTGAGTTTCTATCATTATTGTGATGCTTCGATGTGTGTATCTCATTCAGAGGCAGATAAATCCATTCCTAATTCAGACGAAACCCTTTGGGCAGAGTGCTTTTTGTTACAGAATGCCAGAAAACATTACAAAGACTCGTATAACAGCCTGCGCTAATGGAGCCGCCGCCTGGGAGATCAGAATAAGACATACAGTAGTATTAATAACCACTGCATTACACTATTTGTCATAGCTTTTCAAAACACTTTCCATTTCAAGTTCAAAGCAATTATCGTTTCATACAACATTTATGGGCTAATATGCATGGCTATTTATGAAGTGATGAGGCGATGATGTGTCCATTAAGGTTTAGTAACAACACATGGTAACAAGAATATGATGACAATAATGACTCAATATAATACATCTAATGTACGTTTAAAAAAGACAGTTGTGGGAAACTGCTATAACACCATTTCATTTGGAAAAGAGATCCCAGAAATTTGACCTGCTTTAATAGATTCTATGCAACTCATTGGGGATTAGCAGTCAAAATATCACAAACATAACTGGAAGCATAGTACATTAGACGTATTAATTACCTTTCATTTCCAGTTTTATGCTATATTAGCCAAGGTAAAGGCTCTACGTTTAGTTGTGTATCAAAGTTTACATTTCACATTACTACAAGCGTGAACTATTGTATGTATCTAACATAGACAAGTTCCTCACTCATTAGAACTAGTAGAAGTAGAACTGGTTTGGTTTTAGTTCATAGTTATGGCCTCTATCACATCTTTGGTTCTGCTTTTTCAGACAAAAAAGTGAAAAAGAGAGAAGGCCACCATCGCTCAGCCTCAAGTGTCAAAAAATGACTCAAAGGGCTCTGTTTCCTCATGAGATTGAGAAAAACAAAATATATTATTTATGAAACAACAAAACAAAAAGTTGTGTAATCTCAATGGCAGTATTACTGCTTAAATGGCAGTATTACTGTAAAATACAACACAGTCTGTCAAAGTCTAACACGTCTATAAGTATGATAAATGGTTGGTTTGTGGTTGCTTTTTTAAATGAATAAAATTGAATTGAACTGATTACGTTTGTCTCCTTAAATAAAAAGTCTGAAAGCAAAGGAAAGTGCTGGTTTTCTGACTTCTCTCAACCATCAAGGTTTTATCGAAGCAACTGCTGAGAACACCTTCATACGGTGAAATGAAAGAGAATCTTCAACTGAGACGACTAATGAGGCAGAAAGCAAAGTAAAGTTACACTGTTAATCAGTTGTGACTTTGTCTCAGCCTTGAATGTTCTAGTCTTAAAGAAGAAATATTATTCTTATTTTTTGGCCAATAGAATTATAACTGACAACAATCGTTTTTAATTTCATTTTTTTTAATCTGAAAAATCCAAAATATATGGCGCAACAAGTATGAAGGTACAACATGCTGTCCCTGTGCAACTCCCTATGCTACCACCAGAGGGAGTTTATTTTTTCAATTAACTTTTGATGGATAATATAGATCTCAGGAACAACATTTCAACAGTTTTCCACCACAATATTAAACTATTTGCTCCTTTAAAATGCTGTGATGTCACGTGAATGCAACCTATTACAGGAGGTAGGGGATGGATCTCAAAACAACTCAGTGACTGATGATGGAACAATGTTGTACCACTGTTAAAAGCATAATATGTCTCCTTTAAATTCAGACTTTGGATGTATAAACTCTATGAGCACAAATAAAGTACAAACTGTGCGAAGGAGAAACATCCATTGGTCTGATTAAAACATTTACAGAACAGGCCTTGGAATACTCGTCGTTCTGGTACATACCTGCATTAGCGTACTTTCTTCTCTTTTTAATCTCTTATGATGAATTGGACGATACTTTATTTTGTTCAAAAAAAAAAAACAGCTCCTGAACATTTACACAATTATTTATATATAGATTTTAAAGGAACAGTGCGTAGTTTTTGCTTTTACTGGTTTGATTATTCAATTACATTTAAAGTGTATTCCTTTGTTGCCGGTGTCCCTCATGCTATTGCTGATTGGATAATCAGAGAACCAAAATATTAAACGTAAAGATAGATAATGTGCCCATCGTGTCCTTTGTTTATGTCTTTTAGAATAAATGTGCATTGACATTTTCCTCAGACTGATGTGTTGTATGTTTTAACCCGGTTAGATAAAGGTCGTATAAAACACAATACACTAATTTGCACTATAATATTGCATTCTAAAGGGCAATGGATGTGTGAGTGTAAAATATGACTATTACTAAAAAAAAATATATTACAGCAAAAATGATGCTTAGGGGGACTTATGATGGCAGTTCCTAATATCGATCATTTAGTGTCTGCCTTTACCCGGTTTTAACACATTTATCATTCATACCATTAAATCCTAAAATGTGATATTAGTCTGTACTGATTTCAGACTTCTTGTGCTCCCAGTGTGTAAGAGTATTTTAACACTGAACCGGGGCCTTATCGGAGATGTGGGCCGACTCTTAAGTATGGATCATTAAAGGCCAATGGAAACACTGCTTATGCCAATACACTCAATATGTGATGTTAAAGAAAGCCCTAATGATGCCCATCGAGATAAACAGCTGCAAACCCTCGCGCACAATACACACGGGACAGTTTGTAAAGACACAACTCTGGGTTATTCAGTCTATGCCAAATCACGGTATTGGAAATGGGTCAACCGTCCAACTGCCTGGAGAATACAGAGTCTTAGCCGTAAGTCAGTCAAGGATATTCACAGTTTAAGTAAGTCAAGCTTAAATACAGTACATTACATACACTTAAAGATGCAGTCAGTGATTTTTTCCAGATGCAGTTTTTTATATACTGTGGGAAAATGTCCCTATACCCTATCCATCCATCCATCCATTTTCTACCCTTTAATCCATTTCTGGGTCAGGGGGGTGGCAGTCAGAGATGCCACCCAAGTCTCATAGCACCAGCCCCTCACTGACCCTCTGCAGGTGGTGAGTCCACAGGAGGACGGCTGCTCTCTGAGTGTGAGCATAGCCTTGATCTTTCAGTGGGGCCCTATACCCTAAAAGTAGTCAAATAATCTTGTGTTTTCAAATAGTATTGGAATTGACCAGATCCCTAGAGTCTCCAAAAATTAATGAAAAATATTTTGGAGCGGATCGATAAAAATAAACCAATGGTATTTGTTCATCCCGAATGAACCAATGGGATGTGTTTTTACCCCCTTCACCCTCTTCCTGTTTCTTGCGAGTGTGCGCACCTGAGATATCGTAAGATTTTCTAAAACCTAAAATGGCTGAACGGAAAATCCAATTTCACGTTTGCCACCCACTCTCCCTGTTGTGACAAAGAAAAGAAAATACTGGATGTTTGGTTTGGTGGAGAGGCGAAGGGAGGGGGGAGTGGTTTCAAGTTGGTTGGCACTAGATCATATACGGAATCGGGACAAAACCGGAAGTAACAATCCAACTTTCAAATTAGTTTTAGACTAAAAAGTCCTTAAGTGGTGACTGGTTAAGTTTTAGGCATCTGAGTAAGATGGTTAAGGTTAGGGTTAAGGCTGGGTTGGGGTTATTTTATGGGAATGGCTGGTTAAGTTTAGGCATGAATAGGTAGTTTGTTATATTTACTTCCGCTTCTGTCCTGATTCCGTATATGATCTTGTGCTTACTTACTTACTGCTAACTGCATCTTTAAGACTCAAAAGTCAGTAAACCGAACTATATTTTCATTGTTTACGTAGTTAGCATGAAGCATTTTGAAAGTCAATGATGCTATGTGCAAAGGACAGAATATGGGGCTGTGTAAATCTAATCCTAATTTTTTTATTCTCCTTCTAACCTAAGAGCTCTTGAATACAGAAATTAATAAACATGGAGGTAGATTTGAATAAATAACAAATGTAGACTTTCATCCCAATAGCAGAACCCAAAATGTATTGTTTGTGGAATATTACAGATACAATTATGCTCATCTTTTGACCTGCAGTCATTTGACACACCAAACATGTTGCTTGCTGTTTTACATTTTATATTTACACCTTGGAAAAATAATCTTTTTTCACGATTATATTAAAATACTATGTACATTTCAGAGAGAATACAGCAACACAACCGGCCCTCCATTGCGCAGGCGTTTATACCAGGAACACACCCCTGCTTGCCGGCTTTAGATCCACACAAATCATGAAAAATATTCCCCAAAAAGTATGTTTTTCAAAATAAAAGACAAAACCAGGTGCAAGCAGATGGAGCAGGTTGCAGAGTGGGATGGGCAGCAGCAGCAGCAGCAGCAGCAGCAGCGGAGGAAGAGGAGGAAGGTGAAGAAGTGGTGATCGCCATGCACCAATGCAAAACCGTGGCTCTTCTCGCACAATCGCATCTCTACGTTTAATTCAAAGTGTTCCCAGTTTCAGAGGGTCGTGTTTTTGTACATTAGAAAAAAAATGTTAGTCTCGAGTTAGTCTTGCTCGTCATTTGAGATGGTGGTTAAAGTCTAGCTTGGTTCCGTGGTGACAGCAGAATTCCTCACGTTTCTTATCTCGTTGTCGCCATTGGGCCTAAATGATAGAAACCAAAAAGTCGGACTTAATTTCACTGCATATAGCACAGCAACTGTATTGATTGTGGGCAAATTTGGCAGGTCTAACTTAGTGTGTCGTTTAGCGGGCCATGAACCGGTGGTTACATGGCTTTCAAAGTGGTAAGAAATTCTGCTATCATGCTAGATGTAGTGGGGAAGGATGTAACAATATCAGAGTAATTGAAGTAATAATATTTCTGTGTAAACATAACAGTAATAACATGTGTTATTTTAGGTAAGGTGGTTTTACTACCTTAACTTCCGGACTACAAGCCGCTACTTTTTTCTGTTTAGTTCTTTGAAACCTGTGGCTTTTATGCAATATATATGTAATTTTATTGGGGTAGAGTTGCCAGAGCAGAGTTTATGAATTCAATCAAGTTTTAGTAGCTATATACCACTCAAAATTGTCAAAATAGACGGTGAATGAGTCATCACCTCATCATTAAATCATGTTATCAGGTGAAAAAAATGTACTTTCTTTTAAATGTTGCTGGTGCGGCTTAAATACAGGTGCACTTAATAGTCCAGAAAATACGGTCGATCATTTACATACTACACTGTCCTCCTAAATTTCACATCCTTTACCATTGATGATTTAGAATCTTATTATGAACGCAATCGTTAACTCGTGGTCTCATTCATATTGTTACATCCTGTTTTGATGCTGAACATTCTGGGATTGGCAGACGTCTTCTTACCTTTTCTAGTTGTGCGTTTTGTTTGGATTTGTACAGAAACTCTCCGACTGCGACAAAGATGGAGAGGACGAGGCCGGCCGCCAACACAATGAAGATTCCCCCGATGTTCTGCACCCCCAGAGCGCTGGCCTCTTTGCTCTCCTCTTCTGGACAGCCGTTTCCTCTCCACCATTTCTCCTTCATCATGTGCAGCTTTCCCTCCTCCTGCAGCTGCAAGATGGCGATGGTCATTTTGTCCCGGTACGGAGAGCCTGCGGGGAACCAAAGGCACATGCGTTAAATAATTGGGAGAAGTTGTTCTTACACACAATGTTCTAAAGCGATCTGCTGTTTTCGACCCATTGTTGCTTGAGGAATTATTCAATGTATGGGTCTGGTTCACTTGGGGAAAAAAATGCTTCAAAGATTGGTTACAAAGTATCAAAATATGAAAACTGACCCAAAGCTGCACTAACTGACTTTATTTTTGTATTAATTACAAAAATGCCATCCATATCCATGCAAAAGTAGCGCAGGTTTGTGTTGGCGTGACATTATATTATAGATCGAGTTTTGATGCAACAAGGAAGAGAATGTGTTTCGTGACCAATCACAGCGAACCACTAGCCCCCACTTTCTTGAGAAATCTACAGGTCTCTCGTTAGCACAGACAGCTGAGTTAGCACATCAAGCAGTGGAGGCTAACCTGAAACTTCCCGTGTCTTCGTTACCGGTTACTGCTTACTCAGCAAAACATCCATCCAAAAGAAAGTCTCGTCCTAAGTAAGTAAGTAAGTAATCTTTATTTATATACCGCCTTTCACAGACCAGAGTCACAAAGCGGTTTACAATTGTTATTTTTGGGCATATGGGAGCGGGGTCCTCTCCGCGCCTCCCGGTTCTATCATTCTATGGTGCCGCCATCAACGCACAAATCCATCAATGTACAATCCATATTGTGCGACGTGAGCTCCGTAAACAACAGTGGGTGTGGGGTAGTGGGGGGCGATAGCTTCGTGGGTGCGGGGAGGGGAGGAAAAAGAGCGAGGCCAGTGAAACCACTGCTTCGAAATCCCAAAGTCAGTTAGTGCAGCTTTAAGTGACTGGTGGAGATACTGTATTTGGATTTGTTTGTTTTACATCTGCAAATAAAGATTTTTTTTGTTGCACCAGTTAAAGTGAACCACAAAAACAAGTTTGAGTCAAGATTAAGTGCACTTTGCTAAACCCAATGGAGAGAATATCAAGATTTAGATGAAGATATCCTTTATTGGTGCCAGAGTGGGGAAATGTCAGTGTTGCATCGCAAGTTACAGACAGTAGGAATGAGGAGCACACAGCACAGTACAAATGCATAATGACTCTGTACTATAATAAAGTAAAACAAAATAAAATCTCTAACTCTAGCATGAAAAGAAGAATCATCTACATGTGACCCTTTCTTCCAAAACTCTTGTGTTTTTTTTGCGTCAAAGGTCAACAGCTTGTCTATTTGCTTTCCTACAGTCGAGATCTGTCCAGTTAATAACAGTCCACGCTTTCCCTGTAGACAGTCACCATTTCTGGACACTATTTTTGACATGCTAAACTACAATGGTGTGAGCTCTAGATACAGTAATGCCCAATATTGTGGTAATTCGGAGGCACCCAACTTTTAAAAACCCATAGGCCCTTCACATAATATTCTCTTGTTATTCTCCAGGCATCTAGCTGTGTTTCCTGATATCTCCAATCAATCCACATATTTGTTAAAGGTTTATTGCGTATTAGCGTGTACTTAGCGTATATAGTATACAAGTACACTATATACCAATTGTTTCACTTTTATACCAAGCAAATCCCTAGTTTGTGACTTCCTGTTACTTCCAATGACAATAAAAAAAAAAGTATTCTCTGATGGAATCCTGAGGTGACCAGCGTTGAAAAACACTCCGCTTTTACCTCGCGGAGGTTCTGCTCATAGCGTATTCAGCGTCACAACAGCTTCAGCTTCAGCCTGAGCCGATCGCAGTCACACCTTTACCTCTGCGCCGCTTCACAGACGTAACATCAGAGGGTGAAAAGAGGCACGCTTTTCACTGTTGACTCATTAGCGACGAAGCCATTAGCACATCATTAGCACACGCACACACAAGCCACTCCAGTCTGCACCAGAGAGCTCTCACATCGCACCAGACAATATTGCCATTTATTACTTCAAGAAATCAATTTTACAAATATAGAATGTTAATTGAATATAAAATAGTGTAGGATTGTAACAAGTGAGTTGATTATTAGTGAGTGTTGAAATTCAACGTTTTTTCTCACAGTCATTGAGGCAATGTCAGCAACTAAAATGGTATTTCATCTATGAAATATTATACATCGACTGCTGCCTAGTCCTCTCTGCATCGAGCCACCACGGACCCCTCTGTGGGTGGTGGGCCCACAGGAGGGCCTGCCTACGTCGTCCTTTCGGGCTGAGCCCGGCCGGGCCTCGTGGGTGGGCCCCGGCTGCGCAATGCCAGGCGACGTCACTGTTTTTCTTATAGCGCGAGATTGACGGCTGCGGATTGGCGCAGCGTGCCCAGTGATGCGGTCGCTATATCAGACCGTTGTGGTAAAGAGGGAGCTGCCGAAAGGCAAAGCTCTCAATTTACCAATCTTATCAATTTTCGTTGCCTCCCTCACCTATGGTCATGAGCTTTGGGTAATGAACGAAAGGACAAGATCGCGGATACAAGCGGTCGAAATAAGCTTCCTGCGCAGAGTGGCTGGGCGCTCCCTTAGAGATAGCGGGAGGAGCTCGGAGTAGAGCCGCTGCTTCTCCACGTCGAGAGGAACCAGTTGAAGTGGCTCGGGCATCTGTTCCGGATGCCTCCTGGACGCCTCCCTGTGGAGGTGTTTCAGGCACGTCCCACCGGGAGGAGACCCCAGGGAAGAACAAGGACACGCTGTCTCTCAGCTGGCCTGCGCCTTGGGGTCCCCCCGGACGAGCTGGAGGAAGTGTGTGTGGATAGGGAAGTCTGGGCGTCTCTGCTTAGACTGCTGCTCCCGGACCCGGCAACGGATGAAGCGGGAGAAAATGGATGGATGGATGGAAATAGTCTTTTTCCAACAATAATATATTTAAGGAAGTCAGTCCCCTTGGCATAACTAAGACCAGTACAATTTACTGGAGACGAATAGCTAAACCAATAAAATGGTCTTCAAAGATTGGATATCATTTCAACCAATCAGGGAGCTGGGGATGAGCATGGGTTCCAGTATCTTCAAAACGTTTCTCTCTCTTCACTTTAAACATTATGACTCAGATAATTCTGTTCTGACTGCAGAATTTAAAAAAGAAAACAACCCAATGAGTATCAAGTCATGTGTTCTCCAGGAGGATAACTTGAGCTTTGTTTTGATCAGATATAACAAATCCCATATTCACAGACCTTTTCAGATCCAAACATGTCTAACTAATCAAAAGCATAATGTGATTGATTTGAGTAGTGTATTTGCGCACCATGCTGCGTTTGATGGTGGAACAATAGATAAAAGAAATAAAAATCAAAATAAATCAAAGAGAGTATCAAAAGTATTGCTTTGGATAGAAAAAGTAGCAAGACAAAAACTGTTTCTGTAACGGATCATAAACTTGTGCATTGCAGCCAATTCGAGCCTGCCACCCATTCTGTGCAGAGATGACGCCAACTTAATCTCACAGACAAACAGCATTAGCACACATGGGTACACAACAATTAGCAGCCAATTAACAGAATAATTATACATAATGAAATATGATAATGGGATGTAATTATGCCTGGTTAATATTCAAATGGCATGAGGTTGAATAATGGAAGAGGGCCACAAATAGACTTTACTTTCCAATACTTTAATTACTGTTGAAGAATACTCTCAAATGGTTTATTCTATGCAAAGCTGTGAGAGCATTTATCACAACAGGAAGCTTCATGCTGGGGAGAAATGATTAATATTTATTTTTTTAAATCCACAAAACCAACAATAATATTTATCGGATTGTCCACTGTTTGCAATGAATGATAAAGGCACAGTCAAGCCATGGAATAGTGCGTTTGATTCTGTTGAAGACATTTTGACGAACTAAAATGTAATCTTCTCTCAAATGGGGTTCAACTGTAATTTGGGAAAAATATGTTTCATCCAGAGTGAAAAGTACATAAATATGATATAAGTGATAAAAAATAATAAATAAGATTTCAAGACATTTATTTGCCCTCTGTCTTTGAAATCCAGATCTTTGAAACGTCTATGGATTAATAATGATATACTGTAGTAACACAAGTTGACAGCCAAAAAATGGTCAGGGATTTCTCAACTGATTTAGACTAATTTTGGTGTTCTGAGTCCGAATATCACATGCATTTTGCTCTATCAGGTCAACTTTTTGAGATACAGCCATAGTGTTACGGATTACGTACGTCTACGTTATTATGAATTCTGCTTATCAAATTTGATGGTGTAAATGACTTTGGATACGTTGACTTTTATTTCTTGAGAAAAACGGAAAAAACGTCAAGGGTTTCTCAGCTGATGATCCGCAGAAATTTGTTTTTTACGCAAAATCGATTAAAAAATATATTTCTGTAGCAAAAAATCCTGACCTGATTGAGCAAAACCAAGGTCATTTTCGGACTCAGAGCATCAAAATTAGCTGGAAAACCCTGGACTATTTTCAAAAAATATTTTTTTGTTACCCAGTGTAATAGTACTTATGGTGGTAATATATTTGTCGTTATTCTTTCACTCCATTCACTGTGGTGATGAACTGCCACTGTAGCCACAACTGCCCTGGGGCAGGTATGTACCATGGGCCCGTAAATGAACACCACCAACCATTCACGCACACACACCAGACTCATTCTAGGCTATGTGGGTAAAGTGCTTTGCTGCAGACGTCCCACTGTGGCCCCGGATGTTCCCAGAGGTCTCCCATCACAGTACCGTGTTACTTAGCTTCAGCGGTCTGACAGGATCTGGCTTTCACATGTAGGTGGTGCCATTATTTACTATTATACTCAAAATAGTTGGGTATTTAGCTTTTGGGTGAACTGTATGTTTGCTCTATACGAAACCTGGATATAGCCTGTATTTCATGATTTTCAGTACAAAGATTCATCGCAGTCACTCACATAATCACTAAGATAGCAAATATTAAGCAAAATCACTAAAGATAAATTGAACTTGTGAAAATGTTGACGATTTGAAGTATTGAAGTATGTTGCGTCAGGCAGAAGCATTATTTTCTCATTCCAAATGAGACGTC